TTTCTCAGTGAGTGATTCAGTGAACATGCTACATCTTCCTGCAGGTTTCCTGAGGAAGTTTTCTTCTTTAGGGACTCCTGGGGTATTTCAGCAGTGGAGAAATGCCAGAGAGCATGAGTCTCTGCCTAGTAAGTACTCCACACCATCTTCATTAGAGTTTTGAAGGAAGTTTTACTTTAAAGCAGAGCAGAATTTCCTAGTGGATAGTCAATGAGAGGAGTCAGATGCACTCCCTGGGCGTATGCCTATCTTCAATTTATGAAAGCTGGTACGCACACCACTTAAGGAGTGTGCACCCCTTTCTGATCTGTGGGGGGCTTAATCCAAAAAATCAGTATTTATTTAGTGTTGCCTCAGCTACTCTGACTACTGATGATCCCATGGTACCCATTCTTATAAACCACTTAACCACAAATTGTTTGAAGGTTAAAACGAAGAGGTTAAACAAACTGGGAATAGTAATTTGCCTACACGGAGTTTTTTTGTTTCATGTTGTTTATATTGGCAGTCCCCCAAATCAAGTTGTGTTAGCACTCTTTCTGAAGAAGCTGTCCAGGAGGATGGGCAATCCCTTTGGGGGACTTAGGCCTGCAAATTCTGCAGAGGAAAATGGTCAGGCTGTCAGTGGCGGAGGCCAAACTTCCCATGCTCTTCAGAGCTGCTGTGCTGTTCTGCATGTTGGTCTTCTAGGCACTCCAGGGAGGTAATGTTGGCATCTTTCTCATGCAGCGGGGATTTTAGCAGTCTCATAACGTTATGCATGTGTGGGGAATTTAATTAAGATCACATCAATATTCGGTGAAAGCCCTTCTGTTTGCATCTGTTGTGAAGTCACTGTGTTCCTAACAATATCCCATGTATACTTACAGGCAACACCTTCAAATGGCTACTCAGGGAACTGCAAAATATTTATGTTCTCGATGAGTTTCCTTGGCTGATAAAAGAGGCTATTTAAGTTCTGCCAGATGGAAAAAAAATTGGTTATTGAACATTAGAATAATCTTTTTTTTTTTTTTTAAAAAAAGCTAAAATAATTAGTTCCTGCCATAACATGACTTGTAATTTTCTTGTTGAATATCCTGGTTTTCAGAACAAGGAGGTGTAAGATAAGCAGTATGACAGAAGTTCCAAACTTGTAACAAACATGCTAAATGAGGGAAATTCACCTGTGCCCTTATGAAAAACCCAAACTCAAAGTAATTCCTGGGCTAATTATAAGTTCCTCTGCAAGGAACTGCAGGTCCCAACCATACCAATGCTTTGCAGGAGTGCCCTTCACTGCAGCAGTGGGCAACAGGTAAGTATGCTGTGAATAATGTCAGAGGTACCAAGAAAGACATGCAGTTCCACACGCTGTCACCAAGGGTGCTCTTTGGCATAGAGAAGGGTAGGTGCATGCAGATACAGGGAATAGTGAAACTGCTTGTCGGGGGGCTCTTTTCAAGGCAGGCGCACGGCTCTTGAGTGCCCTGCAAATCCACAACACAATTTGAACTTGTAGAAGGCAGAGAGTAGGCAAGGCAAATACATACATGGTGAGGCTTGTATCCCCAAATGTAAAGGTGGGAGGTTGACTGTCAGGGGTTCAAAAGCAAACATATAGAAATATAAGCCCTGCTGATGCATAGGCATACGGCGACTGTACAGTGCCTGAGGATAGGTTCTTTAGAGAAGCAGCAGGTTGCAGTGATGCTTAGATAACAGTAGCTTGAGGATCAGAGGAAGGTCTGAAGAGTTTTCTTCTATGAAAGTTTTCTGCTCCAGGTTTTTCCCAAGTCTGGTGATACTCTCCAGTACTGAGTGTCAGGATCACACCATGTTACTGTAACTTAAAAGATTCTGAAAAAGTTTTCCTTGCTCAGCCCATTCACAAACAGAAGACCACTCATTCGATTTCCCACCAGCAGTTTTCCATGCTTCTAAAGTTTTCTGTTCTAGATAAGCCATGGAGCCCTGTTCTTACCAGAGTGATGACAGTTGTTACAGCATTTCTCAGGAAAGGGCAACTCACCATGGGAACAGAGAAGAACACCCTTGAAACAGCACCTGAACTGAAGATAAGTGGAATGACTCAAGGAAACCATTCTTTCTCCCTTCATCAGTGTGATTACTGCCAAGCAACCGGAATGATCGCTATTTAAGGAAACTCTTCAGCACCTTGCTTTGGGCCACATGGCACAATTATCAAAGAAGTTTGGCTTTCAAGCACCAGAGGAAACAATCCCTTTTATTCTCCTGTAGCCTTAACAGGGATGGAACAGCAATAATGTCAATGGGTCTTATGGGACCTTTGACAAAATATGATGTTCATCCTAATTAGGAA